TCTGTCCCCAAAGCCTCCATCTTCAATCTTTCCTCAAATGTCTCTAGACCACTCTACACCCCCTTTAGCCAGGGATCTACTATCTGTGGCTGCCACTCTGTACTCAGCAGTCAGACTTTAGCACCATTGGGTCAGGGCAGAGTTCCTCCTGGGGGTGGGGCTATTGTGTCCTCTCACACTGTTGCCACTCAGGGGAGTGGTGTACCTAAGCAAGATGGCTGCTGCCATTTGGGCAATGAGTCAGCACCAGGATCCCACCCACTACTCTCTCAGTTCTCTCCCCAAAGCCCCCTTCCCCAGTCTCTCCTCAATGCCTCCAGCCTACCCTGCCCCCGCCTTTGCCAGAGACCAGGGTAAGTGGCTGCAAATAAAAATTTATGTGTTAGCCCTTTAAGAGGCTCTTTGCATCTCCAGCCACCTGTCTCTGGCAGAGAACAGCCCTGTCGCTTTTCGCAGCTGGTTGTTATCTGTGTACCTTTTGGGCTCTGGTGCTGTAGGCTGGAGAACCCCACTTATGGTTCAGACCCCACTCTTCCCACAGGGATCCAACTGGCCATTTCAATATCCTTCTGGTGCTGCCGCCCATGGGCACCCCACCCACCTTCTCAAGTTTCTACCACACTCCTTACCAGTTAGATTGTGCTAAAGCTGATTCTTCTGTCTGTCTGAGGATATAAGACTCCTCTCTTGCTATTGTTCAGTTGTTTGTTCCAGGTGACTTCTCCACAATTTAGTTGTAATTCCCGATTGGTCCTGGGAGGAGGCCAGTGTGACTTCCATTCACTCCTCTGCCATCTTGATTTCCCCCCACAAAAATAAAAATTTAAAAAAAGACATTAGTGAAAAGTATTTTTTAAAAGTGATCAAGAACTTCCATGTTACCACATTTAATGGTCAATTCTCAGTCACCTTTCTTGACCTCACTGGATCCCTTAGAAGCCTTTGATAAAAGGGGTCACTCCCTTTCCTGCAACACTCTACTCACTTGACATGCATGATGCCATTACTCCTAGTTTTCCTCACATATTTCAGCCTCCTGCACTGGATTGTACTCTAAATAGCAGAGTGTCCCAGGGCACTCTCTGTCTACACTTACTCCCTACTTGTTCTATCTAGTCCATGGCTTTAATGGCACTCAATATGTTGATTGATATCTCTTCCAGATTTATATCTCCAGTCCTGACCTCTCCCATAAGGTAAAGAATATTATATCTCATTTGTCACTCAATGACTAATAGGCATATCAAAACTGACAGAACCCTTGATCTCCCACTCCCTAACCCTGCTCTTCCTCTAGTCTTCCCAAGTCTGGTAATGGAAAAACTCATTCACACAACCACACATGTAAATGTTCTGGAAGTCATCCTTAACTCCTCTTTCCCTCACACCTGACATCTAATCCATCAGCAACTCCTGCTGGCTCTACCTTCAAAATATGTCCCCAGTCCAACCTCCTCTGTTACTGCCATCATTCATCCTGTTAACTACATGAGGACCCTCTTAATTGGCACCTGTATGTCCATTGTAGCTCCCTTTGCTCCACACAGGAGCCAGTGATCACTACTTTTTAGAAGAAAATGGTTTTATTCCTAATTTTTAATTCCCATACTGTTTACAAATACATTTTTACTCTGATAATACAGCTTTGCAACTAGCAAAGCAGTTGAACTAACACCCATAAATGCTGATGGGGAGACAATTAACATCCACTAATGTTTCTCTACATAAACTATTCTTTTAATGTCACTTTTTAAAAACAATTGCAAATAGACTACATAATATATGCAGGCAAAAAGGCAATTAAGTAAATCTCTTGAAACAATAAATGTATAATAAACAGTGCATATTATCAACATTTACATGATTCACATCAAAATCCTCAAATGTATTCTTTTTGAAAGATAGTTTTATCAATAAAATATTGCATATCTTTTAACACTCTGGTACAATACTTCATATATTGCAGGAAAATTAAATGTAGGTCTAGTCATCAGCTTTATAAAAGATCTTTTTCATTAGCTTTTATTAATAAGAGATTCACAATTACATCATAAATAAAACAAATTATTAATTACATGATTTGAGGTTTACGATAAAAACTTGTAAAAATTAGTTTGATATACAGCAGTTATACACCACACTAAAACCAATTGTTTAATATTTTTGCCTTATGTATGCTGCCCATACTGAAAATTGAGCAAATATTTTCATGATGGAAGATACTTAAAACATAAATCAGACCATGTCAATCCCCTGCTTAAAAACCTCCTTACTGATTTTTTGGCTTCCCAGTTTCCTAGCCAATGTCAACTTTCCCCTCACTACCCCTGCCCTAATGCTTGGGAAAAGCAACATGCAACACTACAATCTACATTTCCCAGATTCCCTTGCAGTTAGGGAGGCCATGTGATCCAATTATAACCAAAGAGACATAGGAGAAATCACTGGATAGGGATTTTAAGGAAGCTACTGTTTTCCTGAGAAAAGAGGAGATCTAGTGCCATACATCCTTTGACATATGTTCTCCTTTGTTCCTGCCTAAAAAGCAAAAAGCAAAGGTAAAGCAGCCATGCCAAAGATGTCAGGACATGAACGGAGAAGGGATCTTGTTCCTTGAGCAGTTGTCTTAGTTCTTGTACACCCATCCTTTGATTCCTTGTTAGGTGAGAAAATAGTAAGTCCCTCACTTGGTTAAATCACTGTCAAGTCTTTATTACACAAAGCCAAACAATACAATCCTGGCACAGGCTTCCCATCACCACAGAATAAATTACCTAAGTCTTACATGCATTACCCCTTGTTTTCTCCATACCCACCTCATTGGCCCTCTGAGCTGATCTTGGAACATGCCAAATTTATTTCCACCTCAGCGTTTTTGCTCTTGCTGTGCTGCTGGTAAGCTCTCCCTCCAGATCTTTCAGTTTGTCTGAGCCCTCTCTTCACTCAATTTTCTGCTTTAATTTCACCTCTGCACCAAGGTCTAGCCTTAACAATTCCATCCAAAATTGGAAACTTCACACTCTAACTCTTTAGTGATTTATTTTTATTCATAGCACTTACCACTACCTAAAATTGTCTCTACCTGAGAGCATGTTATTTTTTGGGTTGGCCAAAAAGTTCATTTAGTTTTTTCCACATGAAAACTCTGGTAGTGCGTAGTTGTCTTTAACTTCATTCAAAACAATTTTGTTAGATTATATTGCGACAGCTGTCATATCAGCCTACATTAAAAAAACTTATCAAAATTGGTGAATTTTTGTGAAGCCATTTTAATATTGAAGATGGAAGAATATATGCAACATTTTTGGCATATTATGCTTTATTATTTCAAGATAAAACACAATTGACATGCAAAAAAAGATTTGTACAGCGTATGGAGAAGGTGCTGTGACTGATCAAACGTGTCAAAAATGGTCTGCAAAGTTTCTTGGTATTGTTGACATTTTGGCCAATTAATTCTTTGTGTCTCATGCATGTCTTATGTTTAGCAGCACCCCTGGCCTCTACCCACTAGAAGCCAATAGTGGGAGGTAGTTGACATAACTCAAAATATCCAAATCAGTAAAGTTATTGGTGAAAATGAAAAATGTGCCTTTTATTTTACAGAAAAAAACTGAACGGACTTTTTGGCCAACCCAATATTTACTTGTTTATTTAATATCCATCTACTCTACTGGAATGGCAGATTCAAGGGTTACAGGAACATCCCTAGTACTTAGAAGAGTGCCTGGTATAAAGAAGTCATTCAAAAATTATTTTTTAACCAAGCAATCAATGCATGAGGTCTTAATATTGAAGCAGACTCTTCCTTAAAGTTCACTCAGCAGTTCTTTGTAATACAGAGGCTATAAAACTAGCCTACTGAAAGTTAAAGCTTGAGTTTTAGTACTTTTAGTCATGTCAGCACCTTTTTGGGCTAACATATCTTGTATCAGCACTCTTGGCACATAGACGCTTAACTTCACGGCCTCCGCTGAAATTCGGGACTGGGTCTGGAATTCAAGACGGACCTAAGGACTGACTTTAACAGCAAGGCGTCCAGACACCTGCACTGACACTGATCATGTCAGGGCATTGTCCTTTTCGTTTCTTTCATATCACCTAAGTGAGCTGAATGATGAATCTCTTTGCAGAGACCAGAGGCTCGTTTTTTCTTTGACTTCTTCTAGACTGGGCCAGGGATATAATAAATACACTTTCAATGTAGCCAGTATCATGCCAGAGTGATAAAGGCGACAGAGGGCTGGTTCCAGCCTCAGCTCACCAACTACATGGCTTGTTTGAGCTGTCGAATTAATAGCAAGAAATAAAGGAGATCAAGGACCACGATACGCCCGACTGGTGTGGCTCAGCGCTTTGAGCGCTGGGCTTGCTACCCGAAAAGCAGTCGGTTTGATTCCGCCGGGGTAGATTCCGATCTGGGCACATGTCTGAGTTGCGGGCCAGGTCCTCATCTCTCCCTCTCTTCCCCTCTTTCAATAGTAGTAGTAGTAGTAGTAGTAGTAGTAGTAGTAGTAGTAGTAGTAGTAGTAGTAGTAGTAGTAGTAGTAGTAGTAGTAGTAGCAGCAAAAGAAAGGAAACGGAAAGAGAGGGAGGGAGGCGAGGAAAGAGAGAGGAAGGAAAGAAAAGAAAAGAAAAGAAAAGAAAAGAAAAGAAAAGAAAAGAAAAGAAAAGAAAAGAAAAGAAAAGAAAAGAAAAGAAAGACTAAAGTCTTTAAAATATAAAAGGACCCACAATCCACACCCTTCTGACAGAGAAGCCAGACTCTCGAGCTCTGCGTTCCCCACACCTCTCAGAAGAGAGTCTGAATCCAAGTCAGGTTTTCGTTTCCCTCCTACCCTCTCCCTGTGCCTTAAACGCAGACCTTCAGCCTGAAGTGCAGGCCACCCTGCCGGGGTCACCGTGCCCACCCCAGAGCCTTCAAACACCCAGTCCCTCCGCCCGGAACCGCTCACTCCCATCGGCCCCTGCGGGCCGCTCCCGTCTCCATGGCAATAAAGGCAGCCAATCTACGCAGCAACTTCCGCTCCGCCCGGCCAACAGTGCGGTCTCAGACTACGCTGAAGTGGCCTCAGGTGGGCCTGCAGTCGGCGGACCGGGATGCTGAAGGCCAAGATTCTCTTCGTGGGGCCCTGCGAGGTGAGGCCGGGGCCGGGTGTGCCTTCGGGTGCAGCGAGCTGTGCCGGGAGTGATCCCGGTGCCCCCCAGGAAATGGAAACCCAGTGGTGGGCGCCGCCGCTGATCTCACCGGGAACTCTGCGCCTCCAGACATTGACCCTGTTTCATTGAGGCCTAAAGGCCCAACATAGTGAGTGGCGTTTTGGAACCAGAACTTAGATCTTACTTTACATTCGAGGTTGTCCCTAATGAATGTGCCCGTGGGACGAGAAAACCAGGAGGAGGGAAGACTGGGCTGTAGACTGGTCTTGAACAATTGCCTATTGATGTATGTGTGATGGTGGTGGTGAAGATTAGATGTTCATGTGTACTTAACACCATACACAAAAATAAAATTCAGATGGACTAAAACTAAACGTGTAAAAACCTTGAAAGTAGTAAATGAATAAGAATTTGCATTTTGCAGTTCCTGTTCGCCCAGAGACCACACTTTGAGAATCATTGTAGTAGACGAATATATGGAAAGATATGTTTTTAACCTTAAGATAGGGAAGTTCTTCTTAGGCACAACACAAAAATGAAAAAGTCTTAAAAGCAATGTCAGCAAAGTTAAAGCCTGGGGAAAGTATTTGCAAAATATATTACAAAGAAAGGGTTAATAGCTGGATCACCTGTTTAAACATTGGTAAAGAGAACTCAATAGAAAATTGAGCTAAGGCTCTGCACAAAAGAAATACAACTGATCAATAAGTGTGAGAAGATGCCCAGCATCACAGTCGCAGGAATGCAATCCAAACAAAAAGATGACATTTATTTACCCATCAGATTGGATGAGGAAAAGTTGCAAGATTGATAATACCCAGTGTTTGAATGTAGGGAAATAAGTACTCTAGTATTCTGCTGATGTGGCTATAAAATGATAGCAGCTTTTTTGGTGATCAAATTATTAAAATTTAAAGTGTGCTTAGCTTTTAGTGCTGCACTTACATTTCTCAGAATCTACGGTAGAAGAATACTTGTCAATGTTCTCCATGAGTCATATACAATATTGAACAGCTGGAAGCATCCTAGATACCATCGGTAAGAGAATGTCTAAATAAACTAAGGTACATTCTTAACTTTGGAAGACTGTATAGCAGTTAAACAAAACATGGCAAGTCTGTGTATATTGACATGGAGAACTCTCCAAGACAAATTATTAAGTGAAATAGACAATAACAATATGCAGAGAATTATGAAAAGCAAAACAATCATAGATATCATTTTAATGGAAGTTCTCAAACATATACAAAGGAAAAAGAACTATGAACTCCTAGTACGCATCACCCAGCTTCGACAACAAAATATATTTTTGCACATACATTTTTCTCTCCCTCACTACTCTTCAAACTTCACCAACTTTCTATTCCTTCAACATGCTGGGCCCACTCCTGCCCTGGTGCCTTTGAAATAGCTATTCCCCCTGCTTGGAAGCCTCAGTTGACTCATTGTCATTCAAACCTCAAGTTAAACTTCATCCAGGCTTTCCTTGACCACTCAATTCAAAGGCTCTATCACATCACTCTGCTTTATTTTTATGCTAACATTTATAAGTACCTCATCTCTTTCTAATTTATTCAACAGCACCTGGCAGAAGGTAAACACTTAAAAGTAAGTGTCTTATGGGCCTAACAGACAGTTTCTTCATTTTCCCATAAGAACCCACCCCCTTAAAAAATTGGTTTTAGGCAACTAGTAAATATAGACTTTAAGGCATAGATAAAATATATAAATATACTTTTATAATGTTTTATGTATCAGTGTAGCCTATATACACATTTAAAGTTACATTAAGCTAATGTTAATTTGGAAATGCTGTTTTATTCCATTCTTGCATTTCATGAGAGTTTTATTCAAGCCCCTCACCTGCACCTTTAACACCCAAATCGTCTTTATGACTAGAACCACTTATTGAATCACCTAACACAGCACATCACCTAAGTAGTTTAGGATACAGCACTTTTTCTGTTTGTGTATGAACCTATTCCTGGAAATGTATTCCAGCTCAAAGAACTATGCCTGTAACATCAGGCCATTTGCTTTATGCATTCATCCTGTAGATAAGTATTCACAATTTCTAACATGACCACTTACTGTATTACTGTTAAGTAATAATTTGTGAGGCCATATCCTCAGAGAAAATTATTAATACAATGTTAAGCCCCTTCTCTCCCTTTTATTTATTTATTTCCTGATTCTAGCCAGTGACCTGCACAAGCCTCCCAAACTGGCATTGATTGAGGTCATTCTAGTTAAGCAGTTGTTCAAAATAAAGTAACTGAAGTACAGATATTATTTAATAAGGATTCAAGTATAATTTGAGATATTTTTAAATAAGGATTCAAGTATAAGAGATCCCCTTCTTCTGAGGAATTATTTGGGTGGAGAAAAATATTTTTTACATTTAGACATATAAAATGTTTATTAAATGAATGATGCAAATGTATAGAAAAAAAATCTGAAAAACATCATAGTTGTTACCTTTGGAGAGGGTATGGGATGGATAGACAGATGGGTGCTTTGGGTGGAGAGATGAGGAGAGTTACTTGTTTGTTTGTTTTTGTTTGTTTTTTAAGTAAGAATGTGTATTATGCAGAGGGAGAAACATCCCTTCATGAGAGTGTGGCATAGCCAGCCAGGGGTCTCCAGACCTGGGACCGAGCTCTGATTTGAGACTTCTCTTTGACCTTGAAGAACTCCCTTCCCCTTTCTCTGCCTCAGTGGCTTCATAATGAGCTGTGACAGACTGTGGTTTTTCTTGAAGATGTGGAGAGGACCAAGTAAGGGAAAGCTCATATGAATTTTTTTTTTTTTCTGTTCTTAGATGAGTTAACTGAGAGCCAGCCGGGGAAATCCACGTAGGTAAAGTCACCCCCTGGCAGAATCCCCTGGAATCCCCTGCTCCCTGGGCCCTGGAGCAGACTGTGCAGACCATGCAGAGCAAGTCAGCGAGGTCCACCCAACCAGAGAGAGCCCTCTGCTCTGGTGGTACCAGAGTGCCTGTGGCCTGTACTCCACCGCATCTGGTTCCATACCAGCTACTGGAGGGCTCATTTATGGTTTACTTTCCTGCTCTTCAGAAAAGATTTTTTTATTATCTTCATTTTCACAGAGTGGAAAAACCGTTTTGGCCAATTTTCTGACAGAATCTTCTGACATCACTGAATACAACCCAACCCAAGGAGTGAGGTGAGTCCTGACAAATCTGTGTCCCAGAGAGTCCCTGTCCATCACCCAGCCTCTACTTTGGATGCAGATGGCACTCCCAAAGTATAATATTTCCAAAGTAGAGATGTTGCTGCTGTTTCTGTTTATAGGATCCTGGAATTTGAGAACCCACATGTTGCCAACAACAACAAAGGCACAGGGTGCGAATTTGAGCTGTGGGATTGTGGCGGCGATCCAAAGTACGTTTCCTTTCAGAGGGTTTGCTTCATCAAATTATTCAAAAATCGGCTGTCCTCCAGACCCCTGGGCCTAGCACACTTCCTAGCATGTATTGGGGGCTTGGTCAATTGTTTGGTGACATGCATTGCTCTTAAAAGTTTAGTGACTGGGTTTCAATACAATAAGAAGTCATCCATCAATTAGCAATAGTAAGATATGATTTGTAAGTCCACCATTAGAAACCAGGACTACCTAACATTCACTGTGGATTCTTTGCTGCCTTGCAGGTTTGAGTCTTGCTGGCCAGCCCTGATGAAGGACTCTCACGGCGTGGTGATCGTCTTCAATGCTGACATCCCAAGCCACCTGAAGGAAATCGAGATGTGGTATTCCTGCTTTGTTCAACAGCAGTTCTTACAGGATACTCAGTGTCTGTTAATTGCACACCACAAACCAGGCTCTGGAAGTGATAAAGGAAACCTGTCTTTGTGTAAGGAGACTGCACTTCTTTCTGCTTTTGTTTTCAGTGTTCTGGGCATTTATTTGTATATTGCTCTGTGTCTTTGGTTTTGTTTGTTTATTTGTTTTGTTCTGTTTTAACTGATTTGAGAGAGAAAAACATCAATTTGTTGTTCCACTTATTTATGTATTCATTGGTTGATTCTTGTATGTGCCCTGACTGGAGATCAAACCCGCAACCTTAGCGTATCAGGATGATGCTCTAACCAAATGAGCTACCTGGCCATGGCTGTGTCCTTGAAAGCAGCATCTGTGTGCAGTAGGTGAGCATCTAGTGTGTCCTAGGCATTTGTTTTTCTCAGCATGTAAATCAGAATTGCCAGTTTAGAAGATCTGCCATTCTATCCAGGCCAGGATAAAGACATTTTAAAAGCCGGTAGATACCAAGAAGGGAAAAAATCTGGTTTTAGCCACTCATCAATATTATTAGGGTCACTCTTTCCTAATTGGCCTTTGCTCAAGAAAAACTCAAATTTGCATGTGACACATACCAATACAGGTGTAATGTGGTCATAGAAGATGACCCACAATAGTCAGCAGTCTCTTCCTTTCTGGTATAAGAACAAAGAGGACCTGGAAGCAGCTTATAGAGTTGTCATCCTTTTGTCAGGTGGCAGTGTGGTAAAACCTTCCTGTGTTAAATCATGCCAAGCAAGACACAACTTATTTTTGTACTTTAGAAAGTTAAACGAATTGGCCTCTACAAAGTTCAGGCCATTTGGTACGAGAAATGGCCCTCAGTAAAAGTTTATGCCTAATTACCTTATTTTCCTTTTTAAGCACCACCCTTGAACAAGCTGAAGCTGGTGCACTCAAATCTTGAGGATGACCCTGAAGAGATCCGGATGGAATTCATAAAGTATTTAAAAAGCATAATCAACTCAGTGTCTGAGAACAGAGACCGGGAGGAGATGTCGATTATTACCTAACTACCCTTCCTTTGGACTCTTCCCCATCCCAGGTGAGGTCAACTTCTTCCCTGATGCAGATCTGAAATCTTACCCAGCTACTAATATTTTCTTCTCCCTGTGGCTCTAGAAGAAGTTTTCTTTATCTGCTTGAAAGTACCAGTTACCCAAGGAGTTGAATCATTCCATCTATTCTCTGTCTGAACCTAATTGTATGTATCCCCAGGAGCAATGCTTTGGTATTTACTAACACATTGTTTATGGTGGCTTTATAGACCATAATGACCATAATTAATGGGAATCCACTGTGTCTCCATCTCTTGCAATTTAAAAGTTTTCAGGTTAGTTCAGTCTCTAATAAATATTTGATTAATTAAAGATTATAATCCACTTCCTCTGCATTCTTCCTCTACAGTAACATGGTATCAGAGTGTCTGGACAGTGTTTGTGCCCTTATTGGGTGGGGTGGCTGTTCCAAGGGCAGGTCCTCTGGTTCCCGCCTGACCTCTGTCAAGATGTCAGTGACCACCTTACAGGCCATCTCCCGCCAAGTGCAAGACTGGCACGGCTTGTGGCTTGGGCTCTCCCTATAGAACCGGTAGTCCCCAGGCTCAGCTGGCCTCCTCCTGGCTGGGGCTGGCCCTGGCCCTGCACCTCTCTCAGAGCCATCTGTGTCCTCTCCATCCCAGGTTTCTTTGTTTCTGTATGGCAGTCACTTTAGCCCTCGCCGTAGCTGACCTGTCCAATTCATTTCTCCATGCTCAGCTTACTGGGAGAAAAACATGATTTGGGGTGGGGGCAGGTGTTCAGAATGTGGCAGTGAGTATTTTCAAAATATTATCGCATTACAATAGTAAGAAATGCAATGATATTTTCATCATAAACCTACAAGAAGGTTTACCTAATCACTTAGGATATTTATAAAATTTTAACAATATTGTGTTATCCTTTTTTAATTGTAAAGTATACAAAACATAAAATTTACCATGTTAGCGATTTTTAAGTGTACATTCTGTGTCACTAAGTACATTCACATTATTACTGTGCAGCCATCACCACCATCCATTCTTATACCGTTCGTGCAGATGGAACTCTGCACGAACCCTTCATTCCGCGCTCCCCGCAGCCCCTGGCACCCACCATTCTACTCTCTGTCTCTGTGAGCGTGACTACTCTCGGTACCTCGTGTGAGTGGAATCATACAGACTTTGTGTTTTTGTTACTGGCTTACTTCACTTAGCATAATATCCTCAAGGTTCATCCATGTTGTAGCATGTGTCAGAGTTTCCTTTCTTTTTATGGTTGAATCATATTCCATTGTATGTATATACCATGTCTTGTTTATGTGTTAATCTGTTGATGGACATTTGGGGTGTTTCCACCTTTTGGCTATTGTAATTTGCTAGGAACATTGGTGTACAGTTCACCTAGGGTGTTTTTGAAGAACATTAGCATTTAACTTCTCCAATATTTCACTTTTATTTAGATATTCTTGATATGTGGATACCACACAAAATGGAAGGTAGAATACATATATATCTTCTAAAAAGTAATTTATGACCTCAGGGGAATTTAATTCTTAAATATTATTTCATGTAATATTTAAAAAGCAACATAGCCCTGACCAGTGTGCCTCAGTTGGGCATCATTTTGCAAAGTGAAGGGTCACCGGTTCAGTTCCTGGTCAGAGCACATGCCTAGGTTTGTGAGTGTGGTACCTGGTCGGGGCATGTCTGAGAGGCAGCTGATCAATGCTTTTCTCTCTCTCGATCTTTCTTTCCCTCTTTCTCCCTCCTTTCCCCTCTCTCTAAAAAATAAAATAAAAGCAATATAATAACACCTCATTTTTGAAAATGCTCAAAAGATTTAATGCTCAAAATAACCAAATGTTATGAGATTATAGCTTTTGCACAAGCAAGTTTGTTTAATAATCATCTTAGGAATTATTGCTCATTCATAGTTTTTATATTTGTAATTTTTTAACATAGCTAACCTGAAAATACATTAAGTAAGTTAAAAGTTAGATATGAGTCTCCTCAACTGACAGTGGGAGAAAAGAAGAGGCGCTGGAGATGAATAAATAGGATTGGGTGCATTTCACTTTTACAGTGAGGAAGGCTGAGTGTAGCTATGTGGCACTTGCAGATAATGACAACCCCCTAGTAAATTTAGATTGAACTACAGTCAGCTCTTAATGAATTGCCTGGGTTATCCATGAGCACATTTTAAGCCCAGGGTTAATTCCCTGCTGTCCAGCTAGCTCTCAGCTAGGACACATGCAAAGAACACAAAATAACATTGATGCATACTGAAGCAAATCATCTTTCCATAATAGCTGCAGTAATAATAATTGATTTTTGTAGAATACAAGCTCAGAAAGAAAAAATAAATTACTTTTATCTGTTTTTTTAATGATTATCCCTGAGCTCAATAGAAAAGTTAATGCAGCTTTCATTGATGTTAACGGCCAGAATAGAACTCTTGTAAGTCTTTGAATTGAGAAAAATCTTTTCAATTTTAATAGGCCACACATGCACAAGTTATAAGAGGACATTCAATGAGAAGTCTCCCTGTCTTCCTGGTCCCTCAGCTCCGTTCCCTTGCCCCAGAGGCACCCTTCCCCTCCATATTCTGTTAGAGGCAATCTGTGCACTTACACATGTGTTTCATTAATGGACACAGTGGAAAACTAGTCACACTTTTCTATATTTTTTTCACTTTTTTCATCTTGCGGATTTGTATAAATATATAGAGAGCTGCCTTAGTTTTTTTGTACGGCTGCATAATATTTCACATAACAATTGATGTTGACATTTTATATAATTTAAATAACTAGTTGAAATATTTTTTTTTTATCAATGGACACTTTTAATGGTATTGAAAAACATAATTTGGGGTATGCATAGGTTTACATGTGGACTTTTAGGGAAGTGGTTTCAACCATCAGTCCTTTCAAGGGATAAAATAAGACTGCTGGCCTTTTGGTTTATGATTTCACAGAACTATTTTCTAACTGAATAATGATTTTTGCCATGCACATGTTAGCATATGGGGAAGATAAGATTTCTTTGTATCCCAGAAGTGACAATGCTCTTGAAAGCCACAGATGCATAAAACAGCCTATCATATGGGGAATTCAGTAGTTCAGCCTGACTCAGTGAATGCGCAGAGCAGAGAGTGAGTGTGTGGGCGAGGGGAGTGGAGGGAGTGGGCGTGAGTGTGCAGGGAGGGGAGTGGCAGCAGCAGAAGACAGGGTCAGCTGGCGAAGGGCCTCTCGGGACTTAGGGTTTCGCCTTACAGGCATTCAGATGCCATTGAAAGACAGTCGCTGCAGATTGATGCGGTCAGATCTCCCTTTTAGAGAAACCCTCTGATGGCAGCATGAGGGCTGGATTGAAAGAACAAGTATAGAGGTGGCTGCTGTCACTCCTTGGTTTGTGGTGGAATCACTACAGTTTCCAAGGCTAGAATCTTCTAATCTCTGTTCCCTCTTCACATTGCCTTATCCTCTGTGTACTTGACTCAAATTTCCCTTTCACTATGTTATAGGGACACTTATCATTGTAGTTAGGGCCCACTCAAATAATCCAGGCTAATCTGTCCACCTAAAGATCCTTACTCACATCTACAAAGATGCTTCTTCCAAGAAAAATAACATTTACAGGTTCCATGGATTAGGACCAGATATTGGGGGTGGGGGCATTATTCAGCCTAACACAGATGCCATTCACTGACACATTAATGGAAAAAGAGCAGCACGTTTATGGGAAGAATAACAGTCCCAGATGATCCAGCAGTTTAGGGACAGAACTGAATCCCTGGTCTTTCCACCATCTTGGTAACTGGGCAGAGTCACCAAATAGATACGGTTCAGAGTGTCACCCTCTGAGACTAAACCTAGTGAAGCAGCACAGCCATAGCAACAACAGCAGGGCAAATAACCATTTTTGAAATTGAAGGTGGTTTGCAAGAATGTTTCCAATAGAACTCACTTCATATATCTTGGAACCAATCAAATGACAAGTAGTATTCTAGAGATCTATCTGTTGTAAGGACAATCTTGACTTACTCACTTACATTGTAACTAGAATGCCTAGATCTCAAAATTGTTCAGGAATGCTCCTGGACATCACTATACTTTTTGTGAAACACCAGAAGATTGGTATGTCAGTAGGTAGGCTAAATTGCTACAACAAAGAGTAGAGCTCTTATACAAGTTAATGCAAAAGCAGTACTTCTGACCCATTGAAAAGGTAACTGAATTTGTGCCACTTAGGAAAATTACTCTGAACTATGGCTTTTCTCAATCTTGACTTCAGCCTCCCCTACCTGATTGTTGAGAATTACATGAATATTCTGGCCTTGGCTGAAGCTTTCTCAAGAAATGTACTCTCTCCTTGGCAAGAAATGAATGATTTCACATTTTAAAAACCAAAACCAAAGAAATTAAATAAATGAGGAGGGAGGAAATTCTGCTTTTGAATGTTAAGAATAGATAACATTTTTTTAAAAGATTTTATTTATTTATTTTTAGAGAGGGGGAGGGAGGAAAAAAGAGGAAGAGAAATATCAATGTGTGGTTGCCTCTCACACGCCCCCTACAGGCATGTTCCCTAGACTGGGAATTGAACCGGCAACCCTTCGGTTCACAGGCTGGCACTCAATCCACTGAGCCACATCAGCCAGAACTAGGTAACACTTTTTATGTTACTTCCGAGCTGCTTTATCAGTTAAATAATTTTCTACATTTATGATACAGGCCATTCTTCCTACTTAAGTTAAAAGCCAATGGACATTGTGCGTCTTCCAAGTATTCCCACTTCAAAAGGAAAGATTTTAGTGCTTTGAAGTGAGCAACACCTCATCTATCTTTCTGCACTCTACAGTTCATTCCTATCTAGGCTTTTGATAGTCTGTAAAAGTATGCCTCCCTTCTCTGGTTCATGGCCATAGTATTGGAGTCCCCAGAGTACTCAGAATCTCCCCAGGCCTCCAGCAGCAGCATCACCTGTGACTTGGCTCAGGCACCCACAAGGAAGCAGCCCAGCAAAGCCAACACAATGCGGGAGGCGGGGGGAGGCGCATCCTGAGTGACCACCACCAGACTTTCAGAGGTACTAGGCTCTTTTGAGCCCCACCATGTACCCCTTCTCCTTGACCCCTCTTTCCCCATCTTCAACCCACCCTATAGACTAAGAAGACTGCAGCAAGCAGAAGCAGCTGGGTTCTTTTACATCAAAACAGCAAAACACCAAAAAGAGGTTGAGAGAGTCCTGCTCTTTGCTATCCAAGCCATATGCAGGAATAAACAAGCAGCCAGTTTAAAAAAAAAAAAAAAAAAAGCATG